CTCGGCTGGCTGTATCGATGCACTGCAGGTGATTTAACTGTTCAGGGAAAATTAGCGGTAAATAAGCGAAATTCCAGCTGCATTAGCATTAAAAGTTGCGCCTTCATTAAGGCAAGAGAAAAAGCCACTCAATCATCAGCAACTGAACGCCCACTCCAAACCACAAGTGTAATAGAATTTAATATTGACTGATATTTCCGTAATTGATTTCAACGCAGAAATCGAATCGGCCACAGCCTTCACGAAGTCTAGTCATGGATGGATGGCAGGTTCCAACAGCAGAGCTATTCCGGTAGCCAACGTCTTTTGTTAGATACACCAGTTACTGGTCTTCTTCCGGTTTACAGCAGTTACCAGCACGTCACCTCGTGGTGGATAACCATTCAGCGAGTCACCCCCCCCCCTTCCCCACCCGTTTCATTTCCATTCACACTATTCTGTTATAAGCATTTTTGATCAGTGAATTTCATCTTAGATGACGGAAAATTAGGATTATTAGAAAACTACTTATACGTTTAACCTGAAAGGTGGGTGTTGAAAATAGAACACATCATCTTCGAGATTACCATCAGCAATCCCAAGACAGATTCTGAAATGTACATTTTTCGCCGAAACGCATATTCAGCAGAAAGCAACTCCACGAAGGTTGTTATAATTTTCTAAAGTTCAGATGACTTTTCGTGACCAGAAGGGACTCGTCGTCCCAATGATGACGATGGAAATTTTTTTGGTATATTCTTAAAGCTAATTTGTCGTAGTAAATATGTTCGCCATTTCACCAAAATACGCTGTAAAACACGTCGGGATAGCTTCATCAGTGAGAACGTTTCTGAACAGTACGAATTTCTAGCTGCATGGTTCAAGATGATTGCAAGGTCTACACGAAGCTAGATGGTTTGAGGTACTGCTGCACTAAAAAAGGAATATATTCTTTTTTCGGCGCCGACTGAATGCCTCGATACAGCAAGTACAATCTCCGTGACAATGCCGAGGGAAAGTTTACAAAACTGCTGTATCTCGGAAGGGCTTCTATCCGCAGTAAAAATTAAACCTCGGTATAAGCAGGACGAAAACATGCTAATAATGAATATCGTTTATAGCTCGTTTGGTTTCGAACGAGCGACACATGTATAACATACTGATATTAAAACTCAATTTTATATACAATATATAGCATATTAATATGAATTATCCTATTATCATACATGCTAACACATTATTATATTAATTATTCTGCCATGAAGAGTTATGCGCCCGCTTAGCGCGTATTAAGATAGTTATAGAGCAATACACT